TTGTTTTTGTTTTTTTTTTAAATCTCCAGCTGCAGCTCAGCTTTCCCAGCCCTGAGAGTGCACCTTACCTGCCTCTTGGCAAAGACCCCAAGAGCGCTCGTTGGATGAGGCGCCCTCTGCTCTTGGTGATCTGGGCACAGCGCCCCTCGGAGTTCTGGCCCCTCCAGGTGCGCTGCGATAGCGCCCAGCACTGTCCAGCGCCCTCGGGGGCTCTGCGCTCCAACCCCCGCTCAGCTCCCTTTTCCCTTCCCCAGAGTGACTCCTCCCCTGACCCCGCCCGATCTCAGCACACCCACTTTTCCCGGGGCTGGCTTCAGGCGCCTCCGCCCAGCTCCTTAGCCTCACCCTGCTGTGGGATCGGACCTTCTGTCCCCGTACCGCTTCCTGGACCTGAGACCGAATTCCGTGTCTGTATTGTGATAGGCAAGTTACTGCTCCTTGCTGAACCTTGGCTTCCTGTCTGTGGAGTGGGTACGGTTCCTGCATACGTTCTTCACTGTCTTATGGTAGGACCAAGCGAGTTCTCAGAAATACAAAATATGAAAACTGGAGGGTCACTGAGAAAACGCCTGATTGTAACACAAAGCCTTTTTTCCAGACAGGATACAGACCCCCAAATTGGGGAGTGGAGTTGCTCATGCTCACCAAGCAAGTCAGTGGCAGAATTCAGACTCAGAATCCACTACATCCCTCTCCCTAGCCCCAGCAGGTTTCTCCTGCAACCAAAGTTTCAGTAGGTCCCTCAAGCCTGACCAGCTTGTGTCTGGCACATCAACCTGTCTCTGTCCCAGAACACTCTTCATTTTCCAGCCATCAGGTCCTCATTCAAATGTTGTTGGTGACATTGCAGTCTCCAAAAAAAGCAGGGACTCTGTAGGGGGCCTATCTAAATCCTCAATACCAGACCAAGGCCTTGCAATAATTAGTAACAAACTCAGCCTTTGCAAAGATCTGCTCTAGGATATCTGCAGTTCACAGAATGCCAAGATATAGTATCTAAGAAATGCTATCATTTAAAAAAGACCTACCACATGGTGGACATTTTGTACAAAATCTAATCTCCATCAAAACACATTGATTTCTGGGTTGTTTCTGTGGTCACATGTTTTGACCCAACTATTCCTTCTCAGTCTGGTGATCTCTGCTCAGAGAAGTCATCCTGACCACCTAGGTGTGCAGTCTCAATTTTCAGTTTGCCTAAGAATCAGCCGGGGAACTTGTTTTAACACAGTAGACTTATTGATTGATTGATTGTAGTTGTAGATGGACAGAATGCCTTTATTTGTTTATTTTTATGTGGTGCTGAAGATCAAACCCAGTGCCTCACACATGCCAGGCAAGCACTCTGCCGCTAAGCCACAGCCACAGCCCCTCAGTAGACTTTTGGGCTCTACTCCAGAGGTTCTGATTCAGGAGATCTGGAGTACAGCCCAGAAATCAGCATTTTTAACAAGATTCCCAAACACTCTGATGCACATGGTGTTTGAGACTAGCCTTGAGGAAATAGCCCTGGCTCAGTGGGGTCTCCCTCCCAGATCCTTTCCAGGCCTTGCAGTCACTCTTTAATACTACTTATTATAGTTAGTGAGAGTAACTATTTCTCCTCCTCATCTACTAGATGGTTAGTTCTTTGAAGACAGAGATTGTCTCCTGTTTTAATACAATTTTAGAGTTATAGTTTTAAATTCTTACCAACTTAGAGTGCTAGAGTCATTTAGTGACAGAACCTAAGTTGAAGGACTCTTACAGTTTTCTAGTCAAAATCTCTCACCTAATGAATCTTTGTATTTCAGGTTTAACATGAGGCTGTCCAGTCTTATGGTAGGACCAAACTTTGCCAGACTTTCTGGCAAACTTCAAGTAATTAAATTGCTTAGGGCCTCATTAAGTTTTTGAGGCTGGCTTTGAACTCACTATCCTCCTGCCTCCGCCTCCCAAGTGCCTGGGATTACAGGCATGCCGCCACTGCACTTGGCTTATGTTAAGATTTTTTATTTTATAAAACTTTTTTAACGAAAAAAAAAGTTAAGATGTTAGAAATTGAAAATTCCATGACTTGTATATTTAAAATTCCATAACACTTGTACACAACTGTTAAGTGTATAAATTTGTATAACTTTTATTGAAGGCAATATAACAATATCTATTAAAATAAAAACACATATCCCTTGACTTGGAAAATCATTTCTAGAAATGCAACCTCTGTACTCACCTTGGGTAAAATAATACACGCACATATTTGTGTATGGATTCTCATTGCAGCCTTGATCTAGAAGCAAAGATTTGTAATAACCTAAATGTCTTCACTGAGGACTAGCTAAATAAATTCTAGTAAATCACTCAGTAGAATACTTCATAGTTGTTAAAAAAGAATGAGGATGTTCTTTATGTAGTGATCTGAAACATGGCTGAAGTACAGAACTGTTCACATAGTATGCTACTACAAGAAAAATGCATACGGGAAATACCTCTAAAGAAGATTTTTATCATCATTAGGCCTCCAGGAAAGGAAACTTCATTTATAGGGAAAAGGGGTAGGAATAAGACCTATATTTCAAACCTACCACTCTGCACCTTTTAAATTTTATTCCATGTGCATTACTGAGATTTTAAAAACTGATCAAAGATTTTCAAAAATAAAAAATTAAGGCATTGAAATATATAATTATAAAAAACAAAGCAGTGTGGGACAATGTTTGTAATTTTATGTTTGGTTTTACCCAGGTAATAATTAAAAGTACATACAAATATGTTTCCCCATGATCAAGTACTGGAAACAAACACAAATCAAAGGATGTGTTAGATGAATGCAAGGATTATTTTTTCTTTTAACTTTAAATATTATAGTATGGTATGAAAAATATTTACAGTACAGTAAATGAAAAATAGGTTTAAAAAATCAAATTTTGATTTAGATTGCAAAAATCTGATGTTCACCAGAGGATTCAGAGAGAGGCTTATACAATGCTGGGTGCACCTGGTCATGCTGCCAGAGCAGGTTCTATCTGGTTTCCTGCCAGCCTCACTGAAGGAACTCCATCTTGAGCCAGTAACTGGAGCTGGTCACCTCCTCACCCTCGGCACTCGTTCACTGGGCCCTAGACAATCTATTTATTTATGAGGAAAAGACTCTGAACAAACAAGAAGAGGATTTCTCCATGGTGGAGGGGAACCAGGGTGTTAGATATCCTCCTTCAAATGCTCAGTTTCCTTCCTGGAGGAAGGGCTACAGTGGGAAACTGGAGTGGGATCCATCCTGGCAGGAAGAAGAGTCAGGAATCTGAAACAGTGCCCTGTGACCCTATGCCACAGGCCCAGCTTAGCCAAACTCTGGCCTTCTACTCTGCACCCCCCCCCCCATCTCTGCCCACCTGTTGTTGGAGGCTCCACTCCTCCAGAATGCTAGCCCCACTTGCTCTTCAGAGTCCAGACCTGGAACCTGAGACTAATCCTGCCCCTTCTCAACTTCATGATTACGGATGGATGTCACTTAGCCTCTGAGCGTTGGTTTTCTCATCCATACAATCAACCTTGCCAGGCTGAGGGATGGCTAAATGAGACAGACACATAATCTCTGTTCTCCTGTCCCACTTCTATGCTACCTGCTTCTCTGTGGGAGGACGTCACACCGAATGACCAGCATTTTCCTTCCTGTGATCGATAGAGGCGCTCTGCCAGTCACTTTCTGGTCACTTTCGTAGTGATCTGGCCACATTCGTAATGGCCCCAGACACTGCCCAGAAGTAGCAGAATGTGTCTTCCTGCATAGGCATGCCTTCCTGCAGCCCCATGGATTGAGCTACGCTCACCTGTTCCTTTGTGATATTACCCCTTTGCCCTGTTTGGGATAGAATGTTTCATGGAACCTCCCTTTGTGTGTCCCTGTCTCTTGCTCTGCCTTTGGGTGTGGCCTTCCCAGATGTCAGTCAACCTGCTGACAGCTGACATCACAAAGCTAGACTCAGCCCCCTGAAACCTGACCCCTTGACTCATTTGAATGGCTTCTCCTCAATAAAAGGGTCAGCACAGCACTTACAGACTCTCTCTTTCTGCGGATTCTTAAGGTCAGAGGAGCCATCACAGGACCCCCCAAGAAAAAGGTTTCTCTGTCTCTTGTGTGATTATTTAAGCACAGCCCAGTTCTCCTGGAGTGACCCTGAGTGTTTTTGTTGCGAGGAATTCGGCACTTCTCCCTCTCCTTGGCCTGCTCCTCCTAGGCCTATGGCTCACATTTATCAGTCATCTGCTCTCTTCTCTCTCCTAGAGATCCCAGACCTAAACCATCACTCTCACTCATCCACACCGTGCTCCTGATCCATGCTCCCCGCTTCTTGACTCTCTCCACTTGGATCTCCAATGAGTGTCTCAAACTTGATTTATCAAAACTGAACTCATCATCTTCCTCTCCCAACTTCGTCTTCATTCGGTGTTCTCCATTCCAGCATTACCTCTAGCATCCATCCACCCACCTGCTAACGCCAGAAATCTGGGGGTTTTCCTGAGTGGTATGCCACTACTCATAGATGACAACAGGAGCAGGAGCAGAAGCATCCATTTTCCATCATGTAAGCTGGAGTGAAGCATGCATGAGGGGATGAAGCAGAAAATAGGAGACAAAAGACTACCTGGGTTCCCTAAAACGCTTCATGCTCTGGTCCTATTCTTGAGTCCAGCTGCTGCCCTACCCTTGGAATCCATAAGACCCCAGAACCTTTTCCAATAACCTCTCCCCATCCCTGTCTGTTCTTAGTGTTTTGTTTTGTTTTTTTTTTAATGTTTGAGTTGGTTTTCTATACTTGCAAATATAAGAGTTCCGATTAATAAAAATGTATTAATCAGGATAGGTATATGGTATATATATATACACAATAGAATATTATTTAGCCTTTAAAAAGAAAGAGATCCTGTCATTTGCAACAACATGGATGCAAGTTACATTGTGATAATTAACCTCCACATTTAGGTGGCTTAGCTCTTACATGTGTCTGTCAGAAGCAGGAGGCTCTACTCATTGCAGTCCCTCAGGAAGAAGTCACCACCTTTGGGGGTGGGATTGTGGCTCAGTGGTAGAGCGCTAGCCTAGCATACGTGGGGCCCTGGGTTCAATCCTCAGGCACCACATAAAAATAAATAAATAAAACAAGGGTATTGTGTCTGACTATAACTAAAAAAACAAATATTTAAGAAAAAAAAAGTCACCACCTTTAATTTTATTGGTTTATGTTCCAGAGGGAAAGAAAAA